TATTTTTTCTCTTGATCAATGAGTGCTTCCACTCGATTTCTTCATGAGTCGTGTAGTTCTACATACCATGGATTGTTAGGACTGAGCTCAATTCATTTTGTTCTCAATTCATTAACGAACAAGATATAAGAGGTTACAGTGAGGTACTTGAGAATGAACTTACCTAGATTTTAAACTTCAATTTGTTCTCGAATTAGGACCGTATTCTTATTTTTTTCACTTCTTCACAAGTTTGTTCCTTAATTTGCCTTAAAGCTAATGGTATGAGATCAATGCTATGACTCAAGTTATGGAGAACGAATTTCGTGGTTTAAGTTATGGATTTCAAAACTAACAAATTCATCAACCTTTTGGTTCTTGGATTCTAGGAACATTTGGCCCGAATTTCGTGGTTTAAGTTGCTCCTCTCCTTGCCACGAAGTTTAACAATTTGGTTTTAAATGATGATATTCATCGTGGAGGAGTAATTTCTTGAGTTTTAGAAACTTAGGCCCAAACTTGCATAAAGAGACAGATGGACTTCCTTTGCTTTTCTTTTGCTTATTATTCTTTGAGCTTTTCGTGAAAAACTTCTTATTTGAGCTCAAAAAACTTTTTGGATAGATTTTACATTCTAATTCTTACGGAATAAAAAATAACCAAATTCAAAACTTCTAACAGAGGGGCTTGAATGGCAAAACTCTATCCTCATAGCCTAAAGAGACCAAAAGTAGCCTTAGAAATTTTCTATAAAGGAAGATTTTTGAAGAAAACCGAGAAGGCTTACCCCCAAAAAGTTTCCTTGAATTACTCTCGATTCTTTACCTAATTTAAAAACGAGAAAAGTAATGATGTAGGTTAAAAACATAACGAGCCTATGAATCATGCCTACATAATTCTTGTCAGATTTTTCATACTTAACATAACTTACATAACATGGTGTACGAAGGTTTATGCATCAAAGATTATCAACATCATATTATTCTATAACAAGGAATAATCACATTATAGAACAACTTATAAATATGACACAACACAACATAGGGACATGAGACACGTGTAATCGTACATCATACAATTGTCTCAACCAAGCCAAAAGTCGAGCCATTTAACTAAGTAGCTTAAGTTGAAGTTGTTAATTTAACTATGGAGCTAGTCCAAATCTAACCTTTGAAATCCAAGTCAACTTATGAGAATTCACGACACCGGATTAGAACAAGTTGAGCGTTTTACTTTACCTAATGCCCACAATTAAACCTATAATTTATCTTAGAATTCTTTAAATTTAGCTTCATCTCAATTTCTTTTAGAAATACTAAAATCCGCTTCAAGAGGATATATATATATATAAAAAAGAAAAAGTAGGGAAGGTCTAGAAAAATTGGAACAAATGGAGCAACCCGAGCCATTTAAGCCATTTGAAGTCGCAGAGCCGAGCTAAGCAGTCACTGAGGAGGAGCGTGGGACGCGACATCAAGTCGAGTCAAACATGCGGATTCAAACACGGTTCAAGAGGTCTTATAAAACAGGGCCACTATGCATCCAAACTCACCTCGAAATGAAATCTAAATTCAAGGTTATAGATATGATTTTAGATCTTAAAAAACATGAAACAATAATTATTTATTTATTTATTTTCAATTATAAATAGAGTCACTTTTGATTATTTTTTAAAGATAGGATATAATAGTTTAATAATGTTTTCAACTTCCAATATCTTCTATACATATTCTTTTTATTTAAAACATGACTGAACATATATAAATGTATTGAAAATTTAGATAAAGTTACTTTAAAAAAAATATTATTTAAAAGTGAATATGAATATAGCTCAATAAAAAAAATAACTTTTATTATTTAAAAATTTGATGATTCAATTTTTAAAAAATGATTGAGCTTTCTAAAAAACAATTATATAAAAATATTAAATAATAAATTGTATAAGTGATCTTTATGACATTTAATATTCTCCTTGAATCAATGAACAAACTACATTTAAAATTAATGTGAAATAAAGAATCTCATTGATGCCTCTAATTTTATGAAATAGCTTGAAAATAATGAGAGCCCATTCTTCCAAAGCAATGCATTTATTATATATAAATAAATTAAAATAGAGAGATTTAGTTTTAGCCATTTCCTTTGACTTTGTAATCAATTAACAAAACTACCTCATTTAATGATTCTTTCGAGTGGGTTTGGTGTAATAGGATCTTCATAAATGGAAAGGGCGAGAGGGTTTTTTTTGAGTTCAATTGTTTAGTATGTAATTTTTTTTTTTAACCCGAACCATTTATGTTAAAAATCGTAACAACTCAGTAGCAGATATTTTTCTTAGGGGCTTCCCCTCAAAGCTTTAAAACGTGTCTGCTAGGTGAAGGTTTCCACCCCTTGTAAATGGTGTTTTTTTTTTCCTCCCCAACCAATGTGGGACATCACAATCCACCCTCCTTCGGGGCCAGCATCCTTATTGGCACACCGCCTCGTGTTTATCCCCCTTCGGGGAACAACCTCATCGCTGGCACATCGCTCGGTGTCTGGCTCTGATACCATTTAGTAACGACCCAGGTCCACCGCTAGCAGATATTGTCCTCTTTAGACTTTCCCTTGTGAGCTTCCTCTCAAGGTTTTAAAACGCATGTGCTACGAGAAGGTTTCCACACCATTAAGGTGTTTTGTTATTCTCCCCCACCAATGTGGGACATTACAAAAACTGAACTCCACCCAACCCAACCATATAGTTTTTTGTTAGATTGATTTAAGTTTGAATTTTTAATTTTTTTTTTGTTTCTAATAAAAATAAAATTTTAGTTCGTAAAATTTTTATGTAGATGTAAGACGTAAAAACTTAAAGTTTGATCTAGGAGACTATGTGTTCCTAAAGATAACACCCATAAGAGAGATGTTAAGATTTTGGTAAGAAAGGGAAGCTAAGCCCGAAGTTCATCCATCCTTTTAGATACTAGAAAGAATAGGACTAGTGGCCTACAGACTCCCACTCCAACAAAACTTATATACCATACATAATGCATTGCATGTGTCCATGTTAAGAAAGTATACGTCACCCCACTCACGTGACAACAAATGATACACTTCCCTTGAGAGAGGATTTTAACATATAAAGAAGCGTCGGTACAAATATTAGACAGAAAAATCAAGAGGTAACGAATTTTATACAAAATTTTGGATTATTGGAAAAAAATAATATTAAATTTTCACAAAGTGGTAAATTCCCTTATTTATAAAGTTTAAAAGAATCACGAAATTGTCATTGCTGGCCAAATTAGATCCTCCATAGTACTCTTGAAATCTAGCCGTTGGATCTCCCTCTGAATTGGATATGCTCTAGAACGTTCACAAGTCATTAAATCTAATGGCTAGAATTCAAAACTAAATTTGACAAAGCTGTGATCTACATAGGATTGATCCAAAAGGATCAACTACAAAATCATGGCAGTTCTAGATGTTTCATACGTGGTGGATCATTTCTCTTAAGTTATGAGCAATGTCCGTTCATTTGGAGCAAGAAGCAAGCAACAAAGAGCCTTCAATCACGAGTTATAAACTTTTCATTTTTTAGGTTTTGAGCTCTCATGTTCCTACCAAATTCGAGAGCTATAGCCCATAATTTCCCTTCAAACTTGTTACTATACCTTCTAAACCAGATTAACTACAATTTTGGTGAAGGAAAGAAGGGGCAAAAATGCCCAAAACCTATTTCCCAAATTTGGTCCACTATTGAAGGAATTGAAAGGAGCTTAAAAAATTCAATTCGATTTTAAACACTAATTCTTCGTGTGAGACCTATCCCAATCGGTTTCTGCACCTCTAAGAAACATTTCCACAGAAGACCTTGAAGGGTAAAACTCCAAGAGTGTACCTAATTAGAGAAATTCAATATCATTTAAGTTTTGGGGGTAAAACTCAAACTCTTGTTTCTAGCCATTTTATTTAAATTTGAGGTTTTCATTAGACTTAGAAAACTAAATAAAGCATATCTGATTAAGGAACGGAGGGATAATTAGTCTAAGATCAAGCTACACAGAACGATCAAACTCTACGTTTTGGGTTTAGTTGCATACCAAAGGTTGGAATCCAATATTGGCCACACTTACGTAAAGTCATCCTCCCAAATTAATTCATTTAGTTTGAGAGGAGTATAAGGAAGGATTCTTGGGGAAAAATCGTGGCCTTAATATGCAACAATAATCCTACTAAATAAACCTAAAATTGAGTGTTCCACCGAGTTGGAAGCTGATAACTTAGGATACAGTCCACGAAAAGGTGAGATATCGGTCCCTAACTCTTTCTTGAGACTCCATCTTTTAAGTTTCATAAAAGAATTGAGGGGAGAAATATAAGGACCCTAGATTTCTACAGACTTAAAGTCGCTACCATGTGGAAATAATCAATTAAATCATCTTCGTAAACACAACCTTATGTCCAGTTTAAGAAATTTAAATACAATCTACCCTATGCATATGCCATGGTTTTTAATTGTGATGTCGTCGTCAATCATGCAACCTTTACCTGAAATATAGTGTCAATTGAGTATTAAACCTGAAATATAGAAGTAGCACGTGACTTGAGTATTAAACCTGAAATATAGATGTAAGCATGTGGCTTGAGTATTAAACCTGAAATATAGAAGTAGCGCGTGGCTTGAGTATTTTAAAAAAATATTTACAGAGAAACATGAATGAGGTTGAAAAGACATACAGAACAAAATGACCCACTATGGGGTTAGAAAATGAAAAGACATACAGAGAAACATGAATGAGGTTGAAAAGACATACAGAACAAAATGACCCACTATGGGGTTAGAAAATGAAAAGACATACAGAGAAACATGAATGAGGTTGAAAAGACATACAGACACATGAGATGTCCGTGCAACCTTTACATGAAATATAGAAGTATTACGGGTCTTGGGGTTGTGCATCATATCAGAGCCAGGTTTCGATCCTAGGACCTGTGGGTTATGGGCCCACCACACTTCCGCTGCGCCACTCTGATTTATAAAAAATTTGGATCATTTCTAGATTGGTGTGTGTCATCCTTCGGTAGGGACCATGCTAATATTCTCCATATGGTTCCAATTATTACCCGTTTTAACCCGAGAGGTTGTGAAAAGTGAACTCTAACATGATCGAACAGGTAAATAGCTTCATGGAACGACCTTTGCTTTCTATTTGGGTTGGTTCACCTATTTTTAGACTGGCTCTCGTAATAATGTTTAGTGTTAAAAAAACTAGACTCAATCTGGCACGTATTCGAGGAATTTGAAGAAATTTTAGTTTCGAAAGTAACATGAATAGTGATCCTAAACACACTCGAACATGTAATTAGCCCTATGAAGTATGTTTCAAAAAATAAATTTAGGGATTGATTAGGGGGCCTTGGAAAAATTATTACAAATCATGTTTAGGAGGCTATTTGATCTATTACAAATCATGTTTAGGAGGCTATTTGATCTAGTATCATGATAACTAAGTCTTGAAAATCAAACCGTTTATGGTTTATGGTTTGGTACATTATTTTATTCTTCCACAATGCATAATTGAGAACTCTGATAGAATTGATATGTTTATAAGCTTTTCAGCATGGCTTGGTTGATACATTATTCCTTGTTTGATTATGTTGAGCATGATATATGTATATTCACATTTATAAATGCATGATTTAGGGTTCGGGGTCCCGTTTATGCCAAGTATTGTTATTGGATGATGTAATGTGCTCTAAAATATCTGTAATGATCATATAGACCATAAGCTACTGCTTCGTTATTATGATCCAAGAACCTAATTTTTTATTCTACAGAACATTGGATTGACTAGGTATTTTGTAAGGACGATAAGGGCACTTTCCCTATTCGTGAACTAGCTAAGAGGAGTTAGGATCTACTGGATACACAGAGTTCAGTTGTCACCCATAGGGGATCCCAAGTGTCATAGAGGGATCCCAAGAGTTCATCTGTATCGTTCCAATTTTTACATGTTTTGACCTTTATTCGATTGTTCTTCTCCTATTTCGATGTTAAACTCATTATGATTTGAATTGGGTTATACTAGAGAAATTTTGGAAAATTTGAAGCTTCCAACACAAGGAAACGCTAGCTTAGCAAGGCATGCGTCATCCATATAAATAATCATTCTTACTATTCTCAAGTAATGCTTACACAAGGACATACTAGCATGCGAGTATATCATGCCTTAAGTGGTAGATTATGCATGTTTAGGACTCTAGAAAGACTATTTGGATGAAAATGCTATATAAGTTAAAGAAAAATTACCGAAATGCCCTTGGTATGGGAAGTTATGATATATACCGATTTTAATGCTTTCTGTTGTGCTAGAGTCCATGAATAGTTACCAAAAGATAGGTAAAAGCCCTAAAAGGGCATTTTTGGAAAAATAATTCTACAAGAGTGAAAGAAAAAATTTAACCCACATGAAATCCCGTTTACAAATAATACCCTTTGTAATAAACCAAATTTATAAAAATAACCCTAAAAAGTGGCAAATTGTAAAAATGACATTAAAAGTTGAAAATTTGAGAAAACAGCCCCGTAGTTAACCATATTGAAAATTAAGCTCCTCAATACTGGCTAATTTGGAAGGCTAGCTCATAAGATGACAAATTGATATTCTTGTTATAAAATGATGAATTTTTTGAGATAATTACCAAATTAATAATTAATAATTAAAGAAAAAGTTTGGGATTATTATAAAAATTATCAACCATGGGATGTTTGACAAGTGGAAGCATCGGTGGAATTCAAATTTGAGAAAACATAAATGATAAAGGAAAATGATTGAATTTACATGTTTATCCTCACATCCTTGAACAACACCTCCAATAAACCCTAGATTTTGGAACTTTAATATATGAATTAGAAGCTCAGAGCACAACCCTACGTCACTACTTTGACCGATTTTTAAAAAGTCAAAAGTAACGAGAAACATATTTGCTAAAGAAACCAAAAGCTAAAAGTCGCTAGAATCGAAGAACCAAGAAGTTGACTTTTGGTGAGTAACAAATTTTGGAATTTTAGAACTTTATCCACAAAATTCGTTCTCCACCCGTTGAGTCATGATATGGGTCTTATATTATTAGCTTTAGAAAAAATTAAGGAACTAAGTTGTTGAAGAAGTTGAGAGGAGATAAGCACTCAATCGCCCAAATCGAGAGCAACTTGACTTGATTTTCTACGCAAGCCAATATCGAGCAACCTACTTTGACTCAACATAGTTTTGTAGTTTTTGAAACCAATGAATTAAAATGAGTCTCAAATGATCAATCGTAAGAAGGTCTTTTAAGTTTCATGAAGAAACGAGTAGAGATGGTCATAGACTCACTAGAGAACGAATGAGTGACGTGGCAACGTAGGAATTTGCCACATCATTCTATTGCCTTTTCTTATATTGTACATTGTTTGGATGGGTTCATTCTTTTTTATATGGTTCTTACAATAATTTTTAAAATTATAGAAAATAGATTCAACTTGGGACATTCTCAAGAAATTTGAGAAAAACCCAGCCCTGGAGAGGTTGTAAAAGTTAACTCTAAAACGGTCGAACAGATAAATGGCTACATGGAACGACCTTTGCTTGCTATTTGGGTCGATTCACCTATTTTTAGACTGGCTCTCACAATAATATCTGATGTTAAAAAAACTAGACTCAATCGGGTACGTATTCAAGGAATTTGAAGAAATTTTAGTTTCGAAAAGGCCATGAATAGTGATACCAAACCCACTCGAACATGTAATTAGCCATATGGAGTATGTTTCAAAAAAATACTGGTAGGATCGATTAGGACCATGACAAAATTATTAGAAATCATGTTTAGGAGGCTATTTGACCTAATATCATGATAACTAAGTCTTAAAAACCTAAAAGTTTGGTTTGGTACATTATTTCATTTTACCGCTTCCACAATGCATAATTGAAAACTCTGATAGAATTCATATGTTTATAAGCTTTTCAGCATGGCTTGGTTGATACATTATCCCTTGTTTGAGTATGTTGAGCATGATGTATGCATATTCGCATTTATAAATGCATGATTTAGAGTTTGGGATCCCGTTTATGCCAAGTGTTGTTATTTGATGATGCAATGTGCTCTAAAATATCTATAATGATCGTATAGACCATAAGCTACTACTGAACGTTATTAAGATCCTAGAACCCAATTTTGAATTCTACCGAACATTAGATTGACTAGGTATTTTGTAAGGACGATAAGGGCGCTTTCCCTATTCGTGAACTAGCTAAGAGGGATTAGAGTTTATTGGATACACACAGTTCAGCTGTCACCCATAAGAGATCCCAAATGTCATAGAGGATATACTACTGAAGTAGCCTGGTTGTACCTAGTGGGGAGCCATGACCTATACTGTTATACCTGAGAGTGGGTGTGAGTCGGTAGTTAATTGTTTTAGTTTGAAAGGAAATATGGTAGGTAGTTTACTGTTCCTTAGGCAGGTAGGTTATTATTCTAACTCGAGGAGGTTGATAACTCTTTAAAAGTAAAGTTATACTAAGCTTTTTTTTGTACTTAATTTTGTACTCATGCTCACTATTTTTTTATTAATTGCTCCATTTATTCTAATTAGTAAGCATGAAATCGTTCATTATGGTTCAACATGAAAAGAATATCAATTTATATAAATCTAGCCTAATTATATACTTAGTTGAATTATTTAGTAAAATTTCACACCATTTATGTTGAACCATGATGTCGTATCAAATTTGGAAACAAACCTATTGGTGATGACTTGTTTGTACAAATTGCTATGCTAAAATAATTCAAAAGGCAATTTTTTCAGGAATGACATGTAAATTATAATCCAAATCAGAGCCACGTGGGTCATTGACTACCCAATTAGAAACGTCCTAGGTGGATGACTTATCCTTTCTCAACCCCAAATGGGAAGAAACAAATAGTATAAAAAGGAAAGGTTACCTAAAAAGAAGAGGAGGCTACCAAAGGGGAAAACGGAAAAGGCGCACAAGAGAAGAATACTAGATGAGTACTTGAAGTTGATGGTTCGACCTCTATTGATGCTCAGTCAGCTTCGGTGACTAATATTTTTCAAAATCTAGCATTGGGACAAGATTCAATGACTAATGCACTAGTCGAAACTGTTTCTGTAATGACTCAAATAACAACTGAATCTTGTATATATTGTGGAGAAGAACACACTTTGATCAATGACCATGTAAGTTGACTTCAATTTTTTAGGTGGGGAATCAAGCTAGCAACTAGAAAAGTAATCTCTTCTCAAACACTTATAATCTGAGGTGGAAAAACCATCCTTCTCAAACACTTATAATCTGAGGTGGAAAAACCATCCAAAGTTTTCAGGGAAGTGACAAAACTCATATAATCAACAAATGCCACCTAAGGGGCTTTGTAGTGCAAAATCAAATGGCATATGCTCACAAGCTAATGTCCAAGGAAAAGGAACTAGCCTTGCTCAACACATACATGGAACATCTCTTGGAATACATATCTTGGAAATCTGCGAGCAGATACGAAAATACCAAAAAGAAAAAGAAGGAACAATGTCAAGCAATACAATCAAGAACCACGAAAGAAATACACTGGGAGGTGAAATTAAAGAACACAGTAACAGTCTCTCACAAGAAGTAGTTGATATATAGCCGTGAAAGGAGGAAACTCACAAGAAGTAGTTGATATATAGCCGTGAAAGGAGGAAACTCACAAGAAGTAGTTGATATATAGCAGAGAAAGGAGGAAACTGCTAAACACCAGGATCAAAACAAAAATTATGCTAAAATAGTAGTCTCCACAATAATGAAGAAGAGAGTATAACTTACATACCAACAACTCCTTCTCCCCCAAAGAATAAAAAGGAAGAGGGAGTCAATTTTCATATAAACATACTACCTGTGCAACGTTTGAAGAAAATGCCAAATTATGTTAAATTCTTGTACGATGTACTCACTAATAGGAGGAAGCGGGAAGAATTTAAGGGGCTGACACTAAATGAAGAGTGTAGTGCAATTCTAAAAACTAAAATCTCACTAAAGAAAAAATAAAATCTCATTCACTATTCTTGTATATCTATTTGACGAAAGGAGTTAGGTCAAGCATTATGT